TTATAGGTGTTATGCCTGACTTTATTCATCTCTAGTATTCATCTCCACTGTTCAGTGATGCATTTCCTGCCTGTCTAGGATATACCTCTATCTGCTCCTGTGAGGCACTTCCTGTTCCTTTTGAATGTATATAGTTATGTTCTCGATAGCTTGTTTAGTGTTTTAATTGCATTTTGATTAAACAACACACGCTGCAGAGACCCGAAAATCAGCTGACTAGAGGGAGGCACATGCATGCGTGGTGGAGCTCACGGGGTGACGGCTCGCGGGCCAGAAGAGAGGCCTCCAGATGCGACCTGTGGCATGCGTGTCATAGGTTCGCCCATCATGGACCTATCTGATTGGATGCACATAAGTATCTCTTCCAATAACAAAATGCGATCCATCCTTTTGCTTGATCAGAATTTCTATCTATTTCTTGGTCAAATAAAACTCTGATAATATTATAGGAGAGAAAAAAGTTACAGAGAATTCTAAAAGGCTCCCCATTGTATGGGAGTTGGTGAATAGAGTGTACAAAGAAGTTATGTGACATTAATTCAAACCAGGAGGTTACAAAATGCAACAAAAATACATTCTGAATCTTGAAATGTACCTATTTCCACCAATATTGCCTTGTCCCCATCCGTTTATCTCTGTAGAAGACTGATAGGCAGGATTGGCCTGAGATTGCTGTATCAAAGGATTCTGAGTATGAGCCATTCTTGGGGACATCAGGGGACTCTGTGGAGTGGTAGCTCCAGTGAAGCCTGGATCAGGCTGCTGATTTATTCCTAGAAAATATAATAGGAACTTCAATCATGTGACAGGACAATTAAGACTACATGCTGTAATACAAAATGTCCATTATGGATTCATCTATTTGAAGATGTTATTGTTCAAGATTCATTGAACAATAACAAAGCTTTCATTGTTCCTTACTGTTGCTTTCCTATCATATATACTGCAGAGCTGGCTTACTGTTTTAATTTGCCCTCATTGTGATCAATAGCAGGCAGTGACATCTGCTGGAGATATTTATTTGACTGTATTCAAGAAGAATTTTCCAAAAAGAAACCCCCTCTTCCAGAGGCTGATGCCTATATATTATATAAAAAATAGACCGAGAAATCAAGTAATACCCAAACAAGCTCATTAAATAAGTGGAAATGACACTATGACAAACAAGGTGTTGATATCCAATGCTTAATACCATTAACAACATATAAAAAACATTCAAACTCATGTATACTTTTAGAGTTGTCATTTCATAGAGATCATTTGTTGAAGAAATGAACACCTTTTTATTTTTATTTTAACTTAGGATTCCAAATTTGAAAAATTGGTTGTTTTTCCCAAGATGTGACATTGGGGCAATATAAAAGTAGATTAGATATATAGATATAGATATATAGGATAGACGGATGGATGGACAGACAGACAAACAGACAGAGATAGAAATAGATAAGAGATAGATAAATATGATAGATGATAGATAGCTATGAGATAGCTAGATAGATAGATAAGATTAGATGGATGGATGGATGGATGGATAGATAGACAGAGATAGATAGATATGATATGATAGATAAGATGATATGTAGATATGAGATGATAGCTAGCTAGATTGATGGATAGATAGATGGATGATAGAGATATGATAGATAGATATAGTTAGAGACAGACAGACTGATGGCAGGCAGGCAGAATTTTCAAAAGGCTTGCAAGCTAAAATATCTCTTTGTGGTCCTCATTCCACAATTATTTTCCAGACTCTCAGTGAGCTAGCTTACTCTAAGAGTCTTCCTTGCAATTATAAGATTAAAAACTATGATCCAAAAAAGAAACTGAAACCGTATAAGCAGTAAAGTCTGAAGGGGAAAAAAAGCCCAATACCATAATTTGGAGGAAATGGAAACTGCTGGGGGTTTGTCTGGGGAATCCGTGGGTTACTCATGGTTGCTGGTATTCCCCCAGAGGCCACCATACTTGGCGTCATATTCATACTCTGGCCCCGCATCATCAGGGTTCTCTGTTGAACTTGGTGCATCTGTCTGTGCCTCAGGTGTTGGCTCAGTAGCTCTCTCTGCCTCTGGGCTAACATTTGAGAATTAATATTTCCCTACCAAGAAAGCAAAATGTTTATCAGTGTAAGTAGCTGGAAGTCATTTTCAGAGTCTGATTTAGCACATGCCAGATAACAGTTTTGAAGACATATATGATAAATATGTTCCTGATATGCAATTGAACAAACAAGTAAAGCCTATTCATATTAAGACTAGCATTCAAACTGTTTGAAAATAAATTCTACAAAAATTAAGAAAATCAGTTGTACCTTTTATCTCATAAATAAATGTCTCGGTTAAAAAGAGGGGTGTGTGTGTGTGTGTGTGTTTCGATTTTGCTTTTACTTATTAAAATACTGGTGGATTCATTCCGTGGGAAGGACACTTCATTTAAAGTTATCTTAAGGAAACGTTTTTCACTTTATACACATTATAATTAGTTTTAATTATATTTTAAGAATTTGAAGCAAACATTTTAAATTTCAAAATATCTTGCCTTAGTGAAATGGCCTTTGGAGGTGTGGACTGCTTTAAGTGTTTGGAGAATATTGCATGCTTGAAACAGTGTGTCTCATGCTTAAAACAGTTTTAAGCTACAGAAGACTCCCAAAACACTCAAAATAGCCCATTTTGCATTAGAAACAATGAAACATTTGTTTAAAATATTCTGTAAATTATTCAATTAAAAACATTTTGCACAGCAGAACTATAAGCTTTCATATAGTCACTACTCAAGCTGGTATTGAATTTAAAATATTCTCATATAAAGAAGGACAATCTAGGTAATATAGGCCACATACAAGTTAAATAAATAAATACTTCATACAATAACATATGGTGCAGTTGCAGAAATTATGAAACACAAGTAAAAATCTACAGAAAAGAAAAATTGGCAGTATCTGTTCCCTCACCTGTGTAGGTACTCCAGGTCTTAGAGACAGGTTCATACTGGAAACATTGCCAATCTGATTGATCAATGGCTGGCGATTCTAGGTAAGAAAAACAAGTCAGATACATATACACACACAATAGGAATAAAAAATGGATTTTATAAAAGTGCCATTTCAATAAAGACCATAATTACCAGTATATCATATTTTGTTGTGCAGCTCAATCTGAATAGCTACTTACATCAACAACACTCAGTGACAGAAATGTAACACATACAGGTACTCTTGGTTTAGGACAAGATTAGGACTAGAGTTTCCATTGCTAAACAATGCAGTTGTAAAGTGAGATTCTATTGCTTAGCAATAGCCAGCCCTGCAGTCCCAGTTGCCATCATTAACTGAATCTCACAATTATTAGATAAGTTAATTTCCTCCTGGTTTCCTGCAATCAAAGTCTATGGGGAAGCTGGTAGGAAGTTACAAGTGCTAGACCTATAGGCAGGTAAGTAGCTGCTGCTGGGTGTGAGACAGAGCAAAGGAGTGGGTAGGAGTGTGGAGGAGGGTTGGAGAAGGTGCGCAACAGGTGTGTCATGGGTGTGCAAGAGGAACCTTGGGAAGGGACAAGGATGGTGGACAGGCACTGCATGGATTGGGCGCATGAGAGAGATACTGTGTGAGTTTGGGAGAATGCATGGCCAGCAGGAATGCAGAAAGCTAGGGGAAGTGTGCGAGTGGGGAAGACTTACCCCAACAACTTGCAATTTTCCTGCAAGCTTCTCCTATGACTTTCTAGGGAAGATGGCATGGAACTGGTGCTCATGTGATCACAGGGTGCTTGGCAACCAGTCACAAGTGTGAAAGGGTTACCAAGCACCCAGATTGCGATCAAGTAGCCATAGGGGTGCAGAAACTCTGAGGATCAGTTTTAACCACCATTACTTCAGTAACTCTTGCAGGGTTGCTGAACAAATGGTTGTAAGTTGAAAACCCAGAAAAAAAAATGCTGGCAAAATGTATTTGCCATCTTGAGGGAAAGAAATGTTCTTTTGTTCTGTTCTTAAATTCAAGCAAGTTCTCTGATGTAATATCTTACAACTTATGAAAAGAAATACTTCTGGTTATTTTTAAAAAAAATGAAAGTAATATATGCCCTATGGTTTACAAGGTTAAAGAGTTATCAAAAACACCACTTTAGCTTTGAAGACGTATAAAAGAAATGAATACTCTGGATGAAAATAAATAAATAGCATCCGAAAAAGAACATTTACAGATAGGTTCACATTTAATTCATACATAGTGAAATATTTTAGAAGCCATTGACACACATGGTGCTGGTCAAAGAAACATAAAATGAGTACCTGCTGGGCTTGAAGCCGATGCTGCAACTGCAATCTCAGTTGATTGGGCGGGTTTTGTACTAGACCAGTAGGCCTCAGACCAGGCCTAGGTTGCATCCGTAGTGCTGCATAACCTGGGCGCTGTGCCATTGGGTGAAAGTTTGGGTCCTGCAGTGGTGTGTAATTGCCTTGGGCCATTTGAGCCTGAGATGCATACTGTTGTGTGAAAACTGGTGCCTTTTGTTCTAGAATGATGTTTGGTTCCTGGTTTGAGAATGATTCTGGATCCACTCCTTGGGTCTGCTGAAGAAAAAAAAAGCATATATATATATATAAAGCTTTGGAGCCCACATACGTAGAGAACACGGAGAAACATAGCTGAGACCCAGCTGCGACAGAACTCTACGCAGTCTATGGTTAAAAGTGATATATATAGGTTCATCTCCCCTGCCCCCCCCCATTTTTCTGTAATGTTTGGCTAATACTTATTTTCTGTGCTGAAGCCTTTTCTAGCAATTCATAATGTATGCATAAATAATAATAAATATTACAACAACAACACCCTACTTGGAACAGCTTATATCCTCCAACGTTACCTTAACAGTTCCTAGGTCCTTGATTAGGACTCAAGCTATTGAGCTACCAACCAGCCCCAAAGGCTGTGAATCTCACCAAAGATTAACCACATAATAATAACAACAAATATATTTATTAATTAAAATATTTCTGGACAGTTTNTCCCCATTTATTTGCCAGGAATTGAGAGGACCGGATGCCATGAACATAGCTTTCTTAATGTTAATGATTTTCAAGCCAACTTTTGCATTCTCCTTCTTCTAGAGGCTCTTTAGTTCCTTTTCACTTTCTGCCATTAGAGTGGTATCATTTACATATCATATCATCTGCATATCTGTCTGCCTGACCTTAAGTCTATTCACCATCTCAACCGTATATTCTTAAGGAATATTATTTAAGTCATACCTGAATGGTCTAGTGGTTTTCCCTACTTTCTTCAATTTAAGTCTGAATTTTACAATAAAAAGCTCTTGATCTGAGCCAAAGTTAACTCCATGTCTTGTTTTTACTGATGTATAGAGCTTCTCTATTTTTGACTGCAAAGTACATAATCTGTTTTCTGTATTGACTATCTGGTGATGTCCATAAGTACTACATATTATGTAGAGTCACCTCTTGGGTTGGAAAAGAGTTTTTGCTATGACCAGCATGTTCTCTTGACAAAATTCTGTTAGCTTTCATCCAGGAAATAATTGAAAATTTAAAATAGAAAATGGACAACTTCACATTTCAGGGCTGTATCAGTTCATGAGCACCTTTTAGCTCACTCTGAATATGACTATTGAAAATGAACAGCAGTTGCCAGCCATTTGTAGTAGCAATTTCATAAAAAGACCTACGACAGGCATAATAAGACTTAACTCCAGGGAGAGGCATAAAGAAACTCATGCTATTAACCATTTGGATGGCCATCAATTATGATCCTTAGACCTTCAACAAACTTAAGTGAAGCCCAAGGTTAACTAAAAATTACCCACTCTAATTGAGCTAGTGTCACAGTTGGAATATTAATTATTTCATACCCGTGATGCATCTCCCTCCTGCTTTATCATGTCCATTCCAGGTAGTTGGTTTGGAAAAAGACTGCCTCCTCTCATCGCAGGATCATTGACCTGAGAAAGGACAATGTTTTAACTCAGTCACAGAAACAAAAGACGTAAACAAATCGAAACCTTCACTCATGCCCCTTCCTTTCGTTTAATAAAATATTCCCAACTAACAGTTGAGGAATTTATTTTAGTACCATGCCTATCTTTGAATTTCTTTCTCTTTTCTACAACACATTATTATCTGACTGCATAATTTTTGGACTTGTCCTACTGTCAGTTTGCTATTTTGAAACAGGAGACAGCAAACAGAGGTAGATTGAAAAGATGGAAAATGAGCGTATAATAAAATAAAGCTTTATTGTAACTGACTCAAAAATATTTCATAGAGATATACTTGTCAGAGGCTTTAAAAAANTTGAGCTACCAACCAGCCCCAAAGGCTGTGAATCTCACCAAAGATTAACCACATAATAATAACAACAAATATATTTATTAATTAAAATATTTCTGGACAGTTTCCCATTAAAATTTGTTAAAATAAAATTTAAAAACAATATCACAAATAAAAGAACTGGGGAAATCAACATAAAAGGAGGTGAGGGGTTTTTTTTTAAATAAAAAAATATTTAAAATATATTAGCTTTTGCTTGCTGATGTTTCACAAAAAACACTCACTGAGCAATCCAGCAATCAAGAAGTCGTGATTTAAAAGACAAGCCATCGGCCCTCATTCCCCATATTGTCATTACAATAACAATCATATCGGAGGACATGAAGCATATTGTCAACATTACCTGGTATAGCTCTGAATAGCAGAGGAGGAATGGTGTTTGAAACAAGTAAGTAATTCTCATATAGTTAATTTCAAGAAGCTTAAGTCCAGGACCCAGAAAGTTTGAACATACATTTTTAGAAATATCCAATATAGCAATACCTGGCTGACAAGTTCTGGTATTCCAAGAGCTCTATCAATTTCTTCTAGACCATCAAAATTCCTTAGTGCCATATAAAGCTGATCAAAGAGAGCTCCTTCATCACTTGGAGACTCAGAGACAGGATGCTGACACATCAAATCATCCGGAGAGCCTACAAATGGTTGCCTACAAAGGGCACAGCTTGATGAGCAACTTGAGGGGGCAAAAACATTTACTCTTTAGACATTCCAAATTAACTGGATGTTACATACATTAGGTGTGCTAGTTTGTTAGGCAGATAAGTTGAAAGCAAACTCAATAATTCTCTAGAACTCAATATGTCTAGCTAAAGCATACTTAAAATGGCAAAATACTTTTTATCATTCTCTCTCTTTCACACACACATATATATATACACACACACTAACACACTCTTACTTTTTTCTAAACTTCTCAGTCAAAACCTGAATGTAATTGTACAGACCTATTTAGGAAGTGAGAAGAAAAATTGCTATTGATTTGGAAATTTGTATAACAATGATTTACAACAATAAATTTTGTTCATATTTATGATGGTGTATTCAATTTGACAGCTTAATTTTATAATAAGCTACATAACAGACCTAATCAGATCATTTAAATCTGTGAATGCAGGAGTTTGCTTCTCATTTTAAAAATAATAATAATAATAAACAGGCTATTAGTTAATCCTGATAACTAAGAAATAAATAACTGAAACTGAGTAATATTTTATCATAAAAGGAGATGAAATCTAATTAGTCCTAAAACAGAGATCAGCAAATAGTAAAAAGCAGTTGCTAGTGTGATCATTTATACAAAATAATATACATGAAGGAAAAATTAAGTGCTGAACAAATTATAGTCATGATACAAATTCGCTGTTCATGAAATTCATAAATAAAAAATTGCTGACGTGAAGCAATCACTCAATGCTGTCCAATGACAGAACAGAACTAGGGAATGTGCAGGAAGAAAGGAAGATGATGATATCTGTTGCACAAATGGAAATCTACTAAAGTTATTCCTTAGCTATCATATGTTATTGCCATTACTGCCCATTGCTTAATAAAAATTGTAACTTTTTAGTTATAACATAAATTACATGTTCAACAACAGATACGAGATATGGTAAAATCTAGGGGCAGTTGCACCACACTGTTCCCAATTGTTAAAGCAGTTTGAAGTTGACTATTGATCAACTCCACTGTTACTAACCTTAAAATCTGAAAATACTAATAGACAATCTGCTTTTCCATTCAACTGTGCAATGATAGAACACGAAGTTAACATTCAGTCAGTGCTACATCCAGAGCTTAACTGAAAGTTGCATGCATTTGTTACATTATTGCCAATGAACAACCAACCAACTTGCTCATTTTTTGGGGAGGGGAATGCAGAACTGTTGAGGCTCTACATCTTGTTTCATACAGTGACTGAATGTCTGCGGATCGAGACTAGAGACTGGTTGGAGCTCAAGAACTGGAAGGTAAGAGAGACCAAATTCTCACAAATGAAAAAATGGCCTATCCAAAAGATCTTGAAAGCTTTGGTCCTATAAACAGAAAGACTACTTTGTGTGTAAGTGTCTACTGACTGTGGAATACTCTATCTTATCTGCCAAACACAGACCACAATGTGAGGCCAGAAAAATATGGACTCCATGTGGAAGTGCCCTACTTTTACAAGTCAATAGTATGAGGCTGCATTTGCCTAAATATTTTGCTTAATGCTTGACTGTTGTTGGGGGAGTAATTTGTGCTTACATGGTAATTTACTTAATGATTAAATTATTATAGTTTCCTAACAGATTTTATGCTACCTTGAATAATATGGAAATGGAGTTAACAAAATATTTAAAGTAATAAAATAAAATACTAAAAACATAACGTTTTATTCCACTGCAATAAAATGGAAGGCTCCTAGGGGTACATACTGGTAGGACATACCATAGGAATTAAAAGAACCATACTTCATTTGAAATTAGGAAACATGTAAACATATAAAACACAATCAACCTGATAAAATAATTAAAACTATGAATTGCCTGAAAATGAGATGGATGGGATGTAATTTTAATAAATGATAAGATAAATAGATAGATAGATAGATGATAGATAGATAGATAAATAGATAAGATAGAAAAATAGATCTAAATATCCTCCAGAAGAGCTCTTAAAAAAAAAAAGGTAAAACAAGATTGCCTAAGACACTGATCCTGGTATAATTTTTAAAAATGAATAATATTAAAAATTATAATCTCAAATCAAATAAATTCAATTTTAATGTACTCGTCTCTCTCATCCTGTTGGAAATGGCACCTTCCTTGTACTAGGTCTAGCTAAACAGGTCATGTTGAGACATCTTCCTGGGAAGATGATGTGGGAAGGATGATGCGTAGGTGTAGTTTTAAGTTGCCAACCTCTTTCTATCTACTCTGCCAATCATTTGTCACAGTCTAGGAAAATCCTTGGCTCAGTCAAGGGATGTTTGCTGCCTTCCTTGTGTAGCAAGTGGTAATAATAAGAACAATCAGTGAAACACCTATAGTTCCTTTCCTTATGTTCATTTATTTATTTTATTTTATTATTTATTTATTTAAATTCAATTCTGGAGTCCAACGAACAGTCCCAAGGCAGTTCAAAAAGAACAAACTATGCAGAAACAGAACAAATTAAATAAAGCAAAAAAATACAAAACAGTTAAGACTTACCTGTTCTGACTACTAAACGATGCCTGATCAATGGGCAATATACTGTCAGGCCAAGGAGCAGTCTGATTGGGAGGGGCTTGCTGTTGGGTGTACTGAGGGGCTCCCATATTCATCTCCAGTTCTGAACCGCCTGAAGAACAACCATCACAAATAAAATAGCACTGGAATTGCAGGTGTTGCAGAAGACCAACAATCTGCTGCTTATTGTATATACTATATTTCCCTATACACTATAGATGAGTATTTTTTACATTAACCTGGATTGGGATTAGTCAGAGACAAATTCAATTCAAATAAGGCTGCTTCAAAAGAAAATAAAAATATGTTCTTATATAATCAGCATGTTATGCAAAAACATTCAAGCGCATCTTTTGTATAATTGAATTGAACTCCCACAGCTGCATTTATATCTAATTAAAATGTATTTGTCATCCCTGCTAATATTATAATATTCAGTATCTGCTGAAACTGTGCAGACTATGACTGGACTCCACCTTACCCATATTCATAACTTGAGATTGTAAAATTTGTCTTGGAACAGCTTGACTGTTAGATCTCAAGGGAAGGCTGGGTGTTGGGTTACGTATCATGCCTCCTTGGATTGGCCTGTTCATGGCACTTGTTGTGGCGGCACAAGTCACTCTCACAGCAGCAGCTTGGCTACCCCAGTCTCCTGATGACATAGCGGGCCGAGGAGTATTACCAGCAATCATTCCTATTAAAACACACACATGTTTATGTTCAATTATGGCTTCCACCCAGTGCTAAACTGTTTTTAATGCCACTTTTACAATCAGCTCATAAGTCAAGCCATAATAATCAAGAATGCTTTCAAAAGTAGCAACTAGCATTGATGCAACATCTCGGTCCCACTGCCAGTTTAGTGCCATGGATAGGTATCTGAGCATATTTTTTCACAAATATGTGCTCCCCAAAATAATAATCCAGTAAAATATGCATTCTTACAATTAGAAAAACCAGAGATCCTTGTGTTATCATATTAATTTGCTCAGATTTCAAATAATTAAGAGAGAATTCATTTCTGAATAAACATCCTTAGGCTTATACTTTAAAAGTGCAATATTATAGCATAACCAGTCCAATGAAAATACATTTATCTGAACTCAAGTGAAATTCTCCTGAAAATAAAAATGCCCAGCATTGGGTAACGGTCTCATGATCCAATTCAACGTATTTTATGTTAGTTTTAGGGTACTGCTGGGGTAAGTGATCCTTGTAGTCAGATGCCTATTCTTTCTATATTAGAAGCAATGTGTTATCACAGAAAAAAAATCACCAAATATATTTTTTTACCTGGATTATTATTCCCAAGATTTCCTTGATTTCCCATCATTCCTTGACTACCCAACATGCTGGGCTGAGGTATCACTGAATATGGACTATTGTTTCTTATGGGTGGAAAAGTTGCAGCACCTGGTGCATTTTGCAAAGCAATGTCAAGCTGCAAGTTCTGGTTCGGCAACATCCTTCCCAACTGCGCTTGTCTTGCATTGGTAAAAGCTGAACAATAGAGGGGGGGAAAAGATGAAAAGGGAAAACTGGGAGCTTTGAAAATTACATTATAAATATACACCCGTGGTGGATTCCGGGCTGTACGGGCGTACCGGTGGTAGCTGGGAGCAGCAGCCACCAGACCAGAACGGTGGCTTGTTTGGCCCACCCACCACTTTTTGATGCAAACGGGCCAATTACACATGGTTGCCCAGCCCCTGTGAGACCTCCGCTGAGCAACTGAGTGTCGCTGGGCGGTGGCATGCCCGATGAGAACACCCGGCCCCGTCACAGCATACCGGTTGCGACGGGATCCAGAACTCACCACTGATATACGCCATTAAGTTCTTTTCAAATTAATTTAAAAACTAGGTTTCAAAAACAAATGCAGATATTTATAGACATTTGACAAAAGTTATTTTTAGACTTTCAGGTGAATCCACAGAGAATTTAAAATTAAATGAAAAGCTCCACCATCTAGTCTACCAACATCCATCATTCAGCTGGAGATTCCTGCACTGATTTCTGACGTGGTAATATTTTACAAAATTGTTTTCATGCTCAGCCTCTGTCTTGATACAATATTAATCTTGTCATTTAATAAAATATTGCATTTAAAATGAATGAAACTTAATAGAAATTACAACAATTTCTCTAAGACCTGACTTGTATGGATTAAATGCATAACCTCATAGCACTAACTTTGGATTTCATGCAACAGAGAAAAGTAAAAAATATGTTTGATGCTCCCTTCCTTGCCCGCTTAAGTAATAGTCTGTTAAGTTTCACTTTAGAGCTAGGATGGGAATTCTTTTTCCTTAAACTGCAACACAATCATGTTTTATGAATTAGTACATTAAAGAAACACTTTTATTTTTGTGCCTTGGTGAAAATTGAGCTGATAGAACGTAGGTGTTCAATGATTTCATTGTACAGTGCAAGTCATAACCATGTGGTAATCCCACAGATTAGTGATGGAAATAAAATAAAACTTTCAATAAAATGAAAAGCTATTTATTTATTTCTAAGTCAAACAATATTCTATTACGGTAGTTGGAAGATTTCACCATGCTGTGATTTATTAAGGTGAGCAGCAGGTGGTGCTGTTTGTTCACTGAAGACTTATAAAGCCTAGCAACAATCTGAAACTGGCATGGTGGCTTTTGAAAAGATTCATTTCAATACTATTATCTGTTTCTAAAACCCGATAAATAGTTCAGACTCACTGCTCTGAGAGATCCTCCCTGTGGGTTTCTGGGATCCAACAGGTGTGCCAGGACTGTTGTCACCTGTAATCTGCATGAGGTCATTGATGATGGCTTGTTTGTCAACTGATCCTGCTGAAGCAACTTGTCGGGTATCTGGGAAAAGTTGTGACAACTGGCTATTCTGTAGATCATCTAGAATTTCTTCCAGGTTATCAAGCTCGCTGCCAGGCTTTCATGGAATTTGAAAAGAAAACACACATTTTTCATAGGTCTTTTAATCTGGGCTAGACCAAAATACTAGGAAACAGAATCAATACCTCAGCATTAAAAACATATCTGAAATCTGTTCCTGAAAAGAAAGAGATTTACTTGTGTCTCACTTAAACTAGACACCAGGACACACATAACCCTTTAGTGTTCCTTATCATGGTGCCTTCTGGAAGTACAAAATAGGCCAAAATATAGTCTCTTAAAAACTAACTAGTAAAATTCTCTGTCTGTAGTTTAGCCATGAATTGGCAGAGAGATGTCTCCAAGGGGGAGGGAGAGGATGCAGATTTCCATGGATGTAACAAAGAATCTTTGTTCAACAGAAATCAACACTCTGTCATTACTGTAATTCTGCTTGGTTATAACAGGACTAAAAATGTTCTATGTAATAGTTACTTCCACATGGTTAAAAACATTTTACGTTTCATCTGAACTTTCAATCACGGACAGAAAAATGTGAACCATTTAAAGAAATGAAGACAAAAGAAAATATAATAACTTTTGCGGCTGGAAACTTATAAGTTGAACCAATGTACTACTGCTCAACATGTAATAAATTGAAGAGTGAAAAAAAAACCTAGGGTGAGAGAAGTTTGGAGAAATATCTCCAATTTCTTTTTAAAAAAAGAAGAGGAGGAAGTCACAGAGTATTAGTAAACCTAATAGGCAATAATCCCCTTAAACCCAACAAAAGAGGTACAATAGGTGTAATAAATTCCAGAACTTTGCATACTACCTCAGAATAGCATTGGAGCCTCGTTTCAAATGGAGGATAATACTATAGTAAGCATTGGGCTTCTTTTAGTTCCCTTGCACATGTTACTACCATGCCCTCAATTTATAAGTAATAATTTTAAAGGATTGGGCTTTTAACAGTCCCATCCTCCAAATATGAGCTCTACCAGCTTTAGAAATGCACAGCATAAGCAAGCCAGACAACAAATGTCTGTTCTTTACATACTTCAAAAATAGCCAAACAAAATGCTGTAAGAAACTTTTCTTTTGTTTCCTCCCTTGTCAGAATGGCTTACAAAGTATGTTCGTACACCTAGAATTCTGAAATAGGATTGGGGGGCCATGAAGCTCCTGGGCTTCTTTAGACCTTTCAGGTTAATCTGTGGACAGCAAACCAAATATATAAATTGGAGGCAGGGATGGGGTGTGTGTGAGGTGAATCATGTCCCTAGAGAACAGGTATAGAACAGGCTGGAAATATAAACAAATGAAGCCAGAAAATTATCAACCCCACGTAGTAAAAGAGATCGGTATAAAAAGTAAAGTGACAACAACATAAGAAATACCACATACTGGAAAAATAATTCATTTGAAAAATAAAGATAATTAAAGGTTACTAATATACAGTACATTGTTGAAAATATTTTCTATGAACATTTCCTTTTCATTACCTACTATGTTTTACAACGTTAAAATAACATTAATTAAAAATGTAAAAGATGATTATGTTAAGAATGAGTAATTCCTACAAACAAAAAAATAAAAGCAACAAATATAGTAAAGGAATTGCTTCTTGTGCTCTCATGCTATACCCAGACCTTGACTAGGAAGGAGTGACAAATCAGCAGGCCAATAATCTAAAGTTTACTCAAATGCTAGTTTGAAAACTCTTGGGCAGAAAGGCTGGAAAAACCTGCCAGAAATTTTTAGGAGCTGCTTTATTTAGAGAAGATAATGTCTGGACTAGTGGCCAGTGTCAGCATAACCAGAATAAATTATGCTTTTGTGTATTTTTTTTGTGTGTTCTTTACCTAGTGGACCTGCAGAACAAATTGATAAATATAAAAAAAATCCATCAAACAAAACCACTTCTGGAAGATTAAAATTCTTGTTTCTTAGTATAGTAATTTAAAGGTTTTTTTGCAATGTCTTCAACACTTAAGAAGCAGACATTTCCACTGCTGAAGCACCACTGGTCTGTTGTCAGTGTTCCATTATGACTCAGACTTTTTCAAAAGAGCTTTTTCAGACACATATTAAGCTAAGACTTTCCTAAGTAATGTGCATCATTTTGCTCTTGTACCCACATATCACACTGATCATATCTGACCCAAATGCAAAGTCTAGAGAAATTCTCTAGAATTTTTTATTGATTGCTGGAAATATTCCCAGCTTAATTTTGAGTGGAGGTAGGAAATGCAGTAGTGGGTTGCTGTCAAACACTGAAGTATCTCATAGTGTTTAGACAAACCTAACCAGTTTTTCTATATACCGTTCACAAGGCATAGTGATAGCTAGTAAATGGAATGGAGACAGGGAAATGTATGATAATGCTGCTTTTACCAGATGAGTGTTATGTGGAAACTTTGGTAGAGGACAGCTTTTCAAAATATCACAGCTAAATATTACCAGCCCAACCTGAATAATGAGGCAAGCATCTTTTATGGAAGAGTCTTTCCTGTTTTGTCAAGAATTGTTCTCAAGCAGTTCCAGCCTTAATGTTTTCCAACAAATTATGTAGCAGTTGAAGAAACAGGAGAAATGGTCACCTCTATTTTCTCCCTTAATTTTTTTTTATGAGCATCATCAGATATGTAACTTTGATAAAATTATGTGAAATAAGGGGATCAACTTTAGGGATATTCATTAAAGTCTCATGCAGGTTCCCAGGCTTGAACATGGCAGGTTCCAGACCTGAACCTTGGTTAAAAATTGCTCTGAGTATTATGAATACTGAAATTCATAGTCCTTGTTGGGTAGACGTGATCCATCTGATTCATAACAGTTTTTCATGTAGTTGCTGCACTGTTTCCAAATTTTTAGTTTATAATCACTTCTATATATCAAAGATTATGTAGGTAAAACCTGTCACTTGCATTTGTCATGTAATGCATAAGAAAATAAACTACATCAGAAACTTTACTACCTTTTTCAAACTTATCTGTCAAAAATTAAACTGCAGAGGAAAAAAATTATGAAAAACCATTTTTTTCTATTCTGCAAAAAATAAAGTATACACTGTGCCAGATTATTTTTCTTTCTTTCTTTTTCTTTTATGTCTTCGTTTAAGTACGGAAGGGTGAAAGGAAGAGCCGGGTTAATAGTTTCTCTCTGATATTTTTCTATAATGATTTGTACTAGTAGAATATTATGACAGAGTTTTTTTCACCCAAGAATGTTTAAAAGAATGTACAATGATGCAGTCAATAAAATCTGTACCAACAATGTGGAAATAAAATGACAAAGCTCAAGGACAACATAAATTATACCACTACTATAGAAACATGGGATTCATTTTGCAGAGATTTAAGAGGCAAAGTAAAAGCAAGTTCTGTAAACCAAGCAAATTTCTTTTGAGTTAGAGGAGAAAATGTACCCAGAAATTAAGAACATTGTTTCTTATGCAAAACTTACAGCAAACATGAAGAACCCAAAACTTTCAAATATATTTGGATCATGTTTCCTGTAAAAATGAGACTTCTATATAAATCTTGATTTGTACACTTTCTAATTAGTCTTTGCGTAGAAGCATCTACAAGCTTACGTATTTTATGTTCAAAACACTTTGTTTGCATTTAGTTTTGCATCCCCCCAAACAGTATTTTGCTTCCTGCTCAATTTACATTTTATGATTCTAAATCAGGTGTTAAGACTGAATGTTACATATTTCAAGTAGCTTCTATCAATGGGTGTCATTCTCATCCCATATTTACATTTTCATCTCCAAAGCCGAAATTAAGTGGCACTTTCCTGTTCAGATTTTTCAGCCAGTGAAGTCTTGGCAACAGAAACAATGGTAGTGATTCTAATCACAAAGAACGTTGTGTCGGAAGCGATACAGAACAAGAATTGTTTCTGTACCCATCTCTGATACAAATAAGATAAACAAATGAATAGATAAAATACAACCCCTCACAAGTTCTTACCTGTTCATTCGGCTCAAAGCGCATCTCTTCTTTTTCAGTCTTAATAGCTACTGGCTTTACTGTGCTACTGGAAGGGTCTGTCTTACTGTCCGACCTTTCCAGTTTGGGGGTAATGTCTGGTAAACCAATTTCTTTTGTATCATCTTTATCTAGCAAGTAACGAAGTAGTGCATTTTCTTTCTTCTTGGGACTCACTGGTTCCTGTTTACAAGTTATCTCTGAACCTGGAGCTGTGCTACTGGTCTCCTGGTTCAGTTCTTTGCCTGTGGCCTCTGCTGTGAGCTTGGCCAAATCTACAGGAGAACTGCTGTCCTGCAAGAGCCTGTGCAAAATTTTATGCTTCTCCTTGAGCGAGGTTCCATGTGCTGAGCCAGAACCAGATAAACTTCCCATGGAGTCCTTGTTAGCATCTCCCATAGTATTAGCCAAAGATGAAGGCTCCATCTGATCAGATTTGGTGGTCAGCAGCTGTAAGAGCTTTGTCTGGCTTTTGCCATCATGCAGTCTGTTCTGTCCATCAGGTCTTTCACTGCCAACTTGGGACATGTTGTCATTATTTTCTTTCTGTTCTCCTGAATGGCAGACACTTTCCGCTTGTCCAGTTGTTTCTTCCGATTGTTCCCCATGCAATCCAAAGCTATCTTTAGAATCCAGATTTCCCATTTTAGTTAGCTGGGGAGGATTCATACTTACAGGGGAATTCTGTAAATTACCCATTTTTATATCAGGTGAAGCCAACGAAGATCCCAGAGAGACTCCATGCCCCTCACTGAGAGCCTGAAGTGCATTGAGGGAACTGTTGGTATAACTATGGCTATTTCCTGTGCTGCTGCAAACTCCAACAGGTGAATGCAAGTTTCCTGCAGGAGAAAACTGGTTGGGTGGGATCCGAGGACTTCCTGCCACTCCAGGACTCACACGATGCCTTGGGGAAAGCATAGAGTTTGGCTGGCCAGGTGTCATGCCAGGGCTGTTTTGAGAAGGACTATTCATTTTTAGTGCATAGTTACTACCCTGAGGAGTGGATGTTTGTATACTTGACACATGGTTCATCCCACCTGAACTACTAAACCTGCTTGTTGGCATACCCATTTGTTCCTTTGGGCCATTTATGGCAAAATTCATATTGCTATTGATGGTCATATCCTGACCTGGATTCCCACTGCACATGGCTTGATGGGCAGGACTGTTAGAGCTAATTGTGTTCAATGGCTTTCCCAGTACTTGTCCAGTTAAATCCTGGTTCATCCCACAGACATTCTGTTCCCTACAATGTGAAAAAAGAAGAAAATACCTATAATATTGTATTTTAAATTAAAACAGCTTAATAAAAAGATACCATAGAATATTATGCTCATAATCAATCCCATATGCAAAAATAAGTGCAACATTTGTTTAATCTTACTATATCTTAAAACCTATATGTTTTTTTGTAAAAATAAACAGAGCAGAAACTATTTCTTACAACAAATACCTTAACCATTTTCAGTAAAAAAAAAGAGATAAATATGCTGATTGGTGATAAAAACATCTGCTGATTCTAACATATGTATTGTCCTATTATGTAAAAAAATATCTAAATCTTTGATTTGTCTAGAAGATAGTAGGTTAGGGGAAACAAACTTGTGTGATGGGGCTGAAACAGCAAAGTACAACAATTAGGCCAGATACTGTGATCATGAGACCTATAGGAGGGTAATTGCCATAAGAAATAATTAGTAATTAGCTAGCTATACTGGTATCAAATTATACAATTCTCATTTTACGTATGCAGATGAAGATCACTTAATTGGGAGGCTACCAGTATCCCCAGTATATTCAGGCTTCAAAGGCTTGATGTCACAAACAAAATTGGACATTTAAAGTTATTTTTTTAAAAGACTAAATACCTTTGTCTTCTAACATGGGGGCTGATATAGAGGAATTTAGTTAGTGTAAAGAAGTAGGTAAGAAGTGCCATTCTGGGATTATGCCATTTAGGTAGTGATTCATATTTTGTTGCCCTAAATAAATCTGGATCAGTACATGGTTTGCCCTATTTAAAATATCTTTTAATTCAATTTTGATTAGCACATTTCAGAACAAAAGAGGAATTATTGAGAATCACAGATTCTTTGTGCCCGGAATATTAGATTCTGCACCTCCCTGATAAGCAATTTAGTTTTACTTCATTGCTTTATATACATTGCTACGTCAGGTTCTTTTATAATGTTGCAATGTCAGGTTCTTTTATAATAAACCAAATAACCTACTCATTTATATATTAAGTGAAATATTTAAAAACACTATACAGCAATATAAATATATATATATAACATTTCATGCATACAGAATTATACTGTATTTTAGATCAGGATTGTAATTTCAGTTCAATATATATTTCTATGTTATTTTTATGCCATATAATGATTGTTGAACAATAAGGCCTCTGAAAAAAGATTTAAAGAGACTGGGTTTAAAATTCAATTTAAGTTATCCCCTTTAATGGCTACGGTGCTGATTAAGCAAGCATCCTGCCTCTTCACATTATCTTCCAGTTAGCTATGTGGTGTTTCCTCAGGCATATATCAGTCCTCATCAGAGGATATCCTTTCCTTAACCAGCAAATAATCCAATATTCACCTGTGACTATGACAAAGATAGTGACAAAATATAGAAAGTAGCATGTATATATACTCAATTTATATAAAATGTATTTCCACTTTAATAGCTAACTTTATATTGCATACAAAAATAGAAAGATTGTGGGTACACAGAGTGTAATTAACTTTATGAGCCTTTTCATTTAGCTTTGGATCTTTTCCTCAATAAATAAATGAACAAGTATAACATTTTTGACTCATTTGTTTAATTGATATCTTTTTACCTAGTTTTAGGACTTATATGGCAAACAGATGTTTAGATCATATTTATGTAGAAATGTTGAAAATTCACAAGGATTCACAAAGTACACTGTATTTTCCATAAACATTACATATTTCTTTGACCGGCAAGTAAAATGGACAAATTCACAGCTCTATGTAAAAAAAAAGTGACAAGAATTTTCTAACATTTAAATGTATGTAAATATATTTTTCTCAAATCTGTAGCTGCTCTCGTAATTAGTAAGACTTACAGGGAAAAGCAAGTGTTTAAAATCATGTTGTAGAGACTTTTCACCCCCTCCCACTCAAAAATATTAGAATGGAACTTCTCTTAATAAGGAACTCTGAAAACAAAAAACTTAGAATGAGATCCACCTAATTTTAGGAATCTTTGCATTTCTACATGAGTGTGTGTGTGTGTGTACACACAAGCTGATGCATGCATTTTCAGAAGAAAATAGTAGACAGGAATCTTTTCTGCATGACTGAACTGTTCCAACCACATTTTATCCTTCAAAAGAAAATTACACAAGTTGCAGCATGATATTCCATAGACATACAATAGATGATAGAGGGAGGAAATGATAGTTAGCCTGCAAAGAAACATCTACTGTGTGATTGGTCTCCCTTAATATTTTACAAAATACAATAGCTTGTTAAATGCAAGTTTCAATGTAAGCAGAGGTAACACAAAGCTTTCAAGGTTACCACCAAGTAGAGAATTCAACCTATCTGCTGGGAAATCACTACTGTTGAGGAATTTACACTCTATGGCTTATTTTAGGGAATCACAGGACAATGGTTTGGGACTGAGACACAGAAGCTCTTTTTAAGAAGCTGCAAGAGGTTGAGAAACCTCTTCTCAATATTGCAGGTTCTTAAAAAAGGATGTATCTCATCTTCTACCATTTCAATCTTGTAGTGGCTGCAAGTTCTAGAGACTCAGCAGATGCTCTTTGGGGTAGCTTATATCTTATAAAAGATGCAGGTGAACATTTTGTGATAATTTGGGAAAGTTTGTTTTAAATCCTACTGGACTTTTTGACCAAAGACAAAGGATAGCTTTTTCCCCACTCTTTTTTAAAAATTTATTTTTAAAATGTCACTTTGCAGATTTCCATCATTCCAAGTATTCATATAAGAGGGCTCTACAATATATGGAACCGAAACCAATACGAGGATGAACATTTGCAGTCCTCCAGATGGAGCAGAGTTGCAATTGCTAGTATGCCTCACCACTAACCATGCTACCAGGAAGAAAATATAATTTAACAACTAGAGATTCCACATTTCTATTCTAAATGGGGGGATATTTTTTGGGGGGTATTTTTTGTCTTTCAGAGAGAGGATTGTGAGGAAATATTTCTTTCAAAAATGCACTTTTTTTTCAAAGATGCATGACAAAAATATTTGAAGATCTTCCATATTTTTTTTTTTGTGTTGGTAGATATATGAATAGTCAGTTCCTTTTCTTAACAATTTAAGGAAACTTTCCAATTATTTTTTCCCTCTTCCAAAGTTTGTGAAGTAAATTGACACAATTTACATTGATGGAAAAATATTTAGGAACTATATTTCAAAACATTTTGGTAATAATGTAGACATTCCTTGTAGATAAAAATTTGCATTGCAAGTTTCCCAGCTGAAATATTTACTTTGCTCTCTCTGTGGCATGAGAACGTGACGAAAATCAAGCAATGAGTGAAGTGGAAAAATAAAACACAAGAAATATAGAGATTCATTTTAAAATCTTTTCTTAAAAAATATTGGTACATGTTCAAATTGTCTAATATTACATGTTTTACTTATCATTTCAAGAACTACCACCAAAAAGAGATCCCAATCTTTCAGTGTGATAAATCCCTTCTCTTGACTTTGTTAATAAGTAAGGGTATGATGTATTTTTATATTGTATTTTTATATTGTGAATGTTATCTTTTTATTGTAAGCTGTTTTGTATTACATATTATGAGATTATGAATACATAAATTGGATGAACAAATAAACAACAGTTTGAAATTGTCAAACAAACCACAATTCTTTGATGAGTGTAATAAAAATAATTAGACATGCCAGTGAATCTTTTTATTAAATAATGTTTTTAATTGAAAAGCAGAAAAAATGGAGAAAGGTTATTTTAATTTGTCATTTGTGTGCATGAAAGGCATTTTCCCACACAAAGATCCTTCCTTTAGAAAGTCTAGAAGTATTTCAATTATTTAGAAATCAATCAGATATGTAAATAACAAATATTTGCATATCTGAAGCACAGTCACATCAGTTATTTTTGCTATTTGCTTGCAAAGTATCTTGCAAAATGACTTCATTAGTAGATCAATAAAAATGTGCAAAAGACTTTGCTAGATGCCCATTCCCACTGCAGGTCCCTGCCCTCTGATCTTCAAGTAGTAGGATTAAATCCAAGTTGAAAATAGAACTATAGGAACAATGCTATTAAAAGAGTAAACTAGTCATACAAAAGAGTAAACTGTTGATTTAATCTGAATACATATAATTACAACAGATAAAGATCTCATAGTGAAAAGTTGCCTTTAAGACACCATTCAGCGTTTTGAATTGCAGACACAAATTCATTTACTTATACATTGTGTTCAAGTAACAGGATAATCTTTCAAAATAGTTTAGATCTGTGACATTAGAATTAATTAAGAAAACAGAAGCAGCAAAAACAACTTAGCTTATTATTGCAATCTATAATTATAGCCAAAAGATCTATAATCTTATAATATACTACAATTGTAATTGATGAATTTTTTAAGATAAAAAAAGTTTATAGAATTACCTGTGAAGCATATGTAAAGATATTACAAGCTGAGGTTCGCTAGTAGTCTGGGAGCGGATGAGCTTGCTCTTCGTTTGGGCAGCAACTATAGTGCCATCAGACAAAGAAAATCGATACACAGGACTGAATGCTAATCCCTGCCTCAGCACTGTAAGCAAGCAAAAACAAAAACAAAGCATAAAGACACACAGCCCACTGTAGGAATAATCACATTAAAATGGTCTTTGTCCACTAATATTATTTCTTACTTTAGAAGGCAAGAAAAAACCAGCAATTTCTTTTGCAAACACAGCAAGGCAATATTAAAGTTCTTCTGAGTTAAGACCAAAGAGCAAGTGGAGTAAAGTATTAACTGAAAGAGAAATGTTGCCAACATTGATAAAGCAATGTACCTATACATGAATGGATGGGCTTATATCACATACAAGAATAAGGTCACAAACTTTTTTCTTAAAAACAGAATGTTGTTTTTTATACTTGTAAAGCGAATTAAGCAAATTTGAGGTTTGCCACACAGTTTTCATATGTTCCTTTCTCAAAATGGCTGGAAAGTGATATTTCTCAGAAAGGTTATTAGCAATTGAGATATTAAACAACATGGACTGTATAGTCTATATAATGGCTACTGTTGCTCACTTCTGCTATAGATTGCCCTTGCTGTTCTGGAAAATGTTACTACTGAGTTTCCTCTAAAAAAGCTTGTTTCTTTTTCTCATTCTGCTATCTTTCCCTCCCTGCTTCCCTCCCTTTCTCCCTCCTCCCATCGTAACCTCCCACCACCATCTCACAATGGGACTCTTTCACAATGGGACACCGAGAGGCATACAACATATAACCCCAAACTATTTTTTTTAAAAAAAAATACTAATACAATAAAGTTATTAAAAATAAAAAGCATTATCTTCAGGATAGCACAATTAATATCACTAATTGTACAGCTATTTTTCAGATTCTGTTCCACCCCTGTCAGTTCCCAGGCCAAACTGCAAAGTCATGTTTTCAGGCCACTCCGGAGGGCCAAGCCTGTTTATTTTTATGTCTCTATTTATAATTCTATTAAAACTATAGGTCCAGAAGAGCTACATTTTCCTAAAAATATACACATTTTTCTTATTGTTCAAGGTTATATAGTAAACTAGCACAAACATCATAATACAGAGGAATACTTCAATAATCCAATTTAATATCCCATGATTTTTCATATTCTGTTTCTTTCTCTAATAGAAAAAAGGATTAAATCTGATTATTGTAACTTTATTTTGATACTTTATTGGAAAATGCAGTGTTGGCTTCTAGTGCTATGGGCCCAACAAACCTCCATTTATGGAAATTCTTTCAATAATTAATTTTTCAATTGCTGGCGGCTTCTTTCTGTCAGTGTTTTAATGCTTATTTTGCCATTTTTTATTTAGCACTGTAATTCTATTTTTATTTAAAATGTATTATGTTTTAATTCTTTTAACTTGATTTTGCAATTAAAAATGCTTAGATATTTCAAGTCAGCATATAAATATTTTAAATAAATAAAAATAACTGATCTAAATTTTTAACACAAGGCTTTTAGGTTTTAGGCACTTAAAATTTAGAAAAAATGTTTTTCATTCATACACACACACATTTGTATATGTAAAACATTTATATATATGTCTGTGTGTGTGTGTTTATGTGTGTGTATGTGTATGTGTATGTGTATATGTATATATATGGATATTAACAGATTTATCTTTGACAATCGTCTGCTTTCTTTCAGTGTAAAAAAGCACAGTTTGTATTGTTGGCCTGTTATCAGTTTGCAGTTTTCCTATATAAATCATATCATATATCCTTCCACAATTTTCTGCCCTCCAGAAGCACATTATCCTGGAAGACAAGAGTTATAATCCAAAATTTTTGAAGGACCAAGTTGGAAAAAGCTGACAAGATACATAAAATGACATTAAAAAGCTGACAATTCTAGGCTTTCCTTTCCTGTCCAGACTTGCCACACTGGTATTGCAGAATTTTGTTTCGTTTTTTAATCTGTTTTTGCCTTCAAGTGGTCTATCCTGTTACAACATTCATCACGAAAAGTTTGGCAGAAGGAAATCAGAAAACATAACTTTAACTATGTGTGATACCCAGTGGTAGGTTTCAACCAGTGTTACTGCAGGTTCGCTCATGTGTGAGCTTTGTGTGTATGTTCAGTTCAATGGAAATTGTTCTGTGCATGTGTAGAAATAAAAATAAAAATAAAAAGATGGTGGTGGCAGCGGCGACAAGGGGACCAGTTCAGGGGCATGGCCAGCCTGGGTTGCTGCCAGTTCATTGTATGTTTTAGCCTCCAGTCCCATAATCATCGTGGTTGCTCTTCTCTGCACGTTTTCTAGAGTCTCAACATCTTTTTAAAAATGTGGTGACCAAAACTGGATGTAGTATTCTCTGTGTGGTCTTACCAAGGCTTTATAGAGTGGTATTAGTACCTCACTTGATCTTGATTGTATCTCTCTGTTGATGCAGATTAAGATTGCATTGGCTTTTGGGGCTGCCGCTGCACACTGCTGGCTCATATTTAGCTGGTTGTTCACTAAGACTCCAGGATCACTCTCACAGTTACTGCTATTAAGCCTGGTTTCACCCAGTCTATATGTATACTTTGGTTTTTCTTGCCTAAGTGTAGGACTTTACTTTTCTCTACATTGAATTTCATTTTGTTAGATAGGGCCCAGTGTTCAAGTCTGTCAAGATTCATATTGTCCCAAAGCTAGTTCCCTACTCTTCTGGAATTGGCATATATAATGCATTAAACAGGTGCAAGATCACAAGGAAAACCCTTATGGATGCATCAAGCCTCATCTTCTTGTTGCTGTTAGTCTATCATTTTCTCACAATGACTATCCAGAATATTCGCAGGAGAGGCAGACATAACTTTTCTCTACTGTCTTGATTAGGCAAAGGCTTAATAAAGAAATACCTCCTCCATTGACCAACAGAAACAGTATATGACATGTACGTGAAGTTGGTCTTCTGGGAGTATGCTCTATACTTCAGCAGAGATGGAAGGAGGGGAAAAAGGCTTTCTGACAAATAAAAGCAGTAGAAATAACAGCAGTAAAACTCAAACCTGTACATTATATGTCACGGTTGTTAGCTTTTATCTTGTCTTCCTCTAAGCATGTGACATATAACACCCAGTATTCCTTTCAATGTTTAACTTTACCTACTGACCAACATAGGACAGTCTTATATCAGGAAAATAATGTTTAGTAACTCCATAGCCAGAGTATATAGCATATAAATTGGATTTTCAGACAGAATGGTCAATATAAAAACATTTTCCTTAAAATCTTGCAAATACAAGTTACAGTTCTTACCACATTCTGCCAGAGCTATTTCACAGGATTAAAACTTTGTTCTTTAACTTTAAAATGCCACATTTTAAAAAAAACATATAGTAAATGCTTATTTGGGAAATGTCATAATTCTACTTTAGAAAAAATTACAATCTAAATAAATATCCATAGGTAATTGCACAAAGTTTGCTATGAACAACATTGAAATGATTCATCAGGACTTTACATAAACATTTAATTAATGTAAATTAGACTTTTCAAACATATAAGAGATAAGTTAAATGGACTTCAGTAGATACTGTGTAGCAGACAAAGCATTTTTTATTAAATAGATTCCATAAAATTATTTTCTATGTCTGTGTTTACATAATATAACTAGAATTTTTGAGAAGAAACATATTTATATTCTTCAAGTTAATAAATATATCCTTCATCCTGGCAAGTGTGCAATTAACTTGTTTTAATAGAGTATCCAATATATATGATTCAAACTGTGAAAGAGTAGCACAATACTTTTAGACTAAGTCATTTTTATATTCCCCAAACAGAGCTCAAGTTGGCCTTATAACCAGAATTCATTTTTTTTGTATCACAGTTTGCTTCTAAAGTTTATCCATAGCAGTTAAAACTAACCTATCCTGTTAAAATTCACTGGTAGATTCTTAAGAAGGAGCATTATGGCTCTACTGGTGGGCAAAATCATGAGAATAAAGCTCCCCAGAGAACCAAGACCAGAATAAAGCATTTGAGCAGGAGTCAAATGTTAAAAATTATTTTTGCCATTGAATATGCACTATGCTATGAAATCCATTATTGTTTCCATGCAGAAAATATGAAACTAGTTTAGATATACAAAATTTACTGAATTTATTTGGAATTACAGATTATTGCCTTCTCGGTTTTCCTAAATTAAGTCATTTTATTCTAGATATATGAATATATTACTTTTAAAAGAAATTTCTCATTCAACTCGCGCCTGTGGCTGTATGTGCAGGTAATCTTTGTGTCTCAGGATTCATAAAATTTTGTTAGGTTCTTTATAGATTTTTTGAGGCAAAAAAAATCCTTTCTCTTTAATTTCCTAGGATGGACCATAGGGAGGTTTTCTTCACTACACTATCTGAAGTATGTTAAGAAACACAAAGTACGTGTGTGTATGTGTGTGTGTGTGTTTGAAAGATCTTGAGAGAAAGAATGTGTCACTAATTTTAAAAGTTTTCCCTGTCCCAAACTGTAAACATTAAACTAGTTTTGATCCAAACTTCTAACAGAAAATTGTATCATTCAAACTATTATAAATGGTATGGGGTTCTAATATGAGAAAAGCATGTTCAGTGGTTTGGTATTTAAATAAACCTTTTTAGTTTTTAACACTTGTTAATTTCTTCTCTTACAACTTTTGTAGTCTGTTTAAAATATTCTAATGTTTTTTTTTTGTCAACAACAGTGGTGCTGCTCAAAATTATTTACATAAATAGTACCAGCCATCAATCAGTAATCAACAAACACATAGAGATAAGTTTATATAGCATTCAAAAGAGGCAATAAAAAGCTAAGAAGGAAACAAAAAGACAGACCACATCCTCTCCAGCAGCCTACACCCAGATAAACAGGATTAACACCAGAAAAACAATCAAACATGAAAACAATACCCTATTCAATGAACTACCAAGGAGAAAATCACACCCCCAGGCAAGCTACTATATACCACACCCCCTGTCAATATTGGCAGGGCAAGCTACCCCACACTTACTAGCACTGATAATGTCAACTGTTATGGTAATGAAATGTCTGCAAGCAAAAGCCAAGCTCAGGCAGCAAGAACTTATATACAATACATCTATTCTACCGTATACAGTCTTCAATCTGTTTGCTGATTTATTTTTAAGTTTTTCACTTTTTCTTTATTTTACTGGTTTTTAACAATTTTGGCAATGTATATTAAAATTTATTTAATAAATGACAATTTCACATAATTTTTCCGTAAGAGTTATTTTTAATTGCCACAACAGGTAATGCTTAACCTTAATTCAATATATCAAGTAAAAAAATGAATATCCTTACCCTCTTGGTGATGCCTCTTAGCAAAAGATATATCTCCCTCATGTTGTGCATAGAATCTCTGAATGCACCTTCTCACCACATCTTCCCAACCAGGTTTCATAGCTGCTCTCATGGTACTAGTGTCCAGTGACGTTATTTTGCCTGTTTATACATATGCATACACATATATGAAGACACCGATGCGAAAGATTGTTCAGGACTTGTGAATTTTTAAAAGTAAATATTTTAATGTGTTCTTTGTACCTTGTAAATCCTGACGAGTACTAAAAGTCTCTGAGGAGGGCAGAAGTGGCCTTTCCTTCATTGGAACTCTTCGTGCCACACAAATCAAGCAAGATTGCAGATCTTTAATGGAACAAACATATTTTTTTAATCAAACAAAAGTATCTATTAGTGTAATACAGAATCACTGAACAATTCTGTAATACAGAATTATAACAAGAAAGCAAACAGGACAATGGCATACAGAAAGGACTATTTCACTACTATAGCGATGTTCCTTAGTCCCCAAAGAATCTCTAAGTTCTTTTGACTAAATTTCACATATGAGAATGGCAGTATTCCTCAAATCAACTGTTTTGCAAGTAGTTTTTGATAAAACTCTGGTTAGAGCACAAACAATTTTTTTTGAAAGACTGGAAATCTTATCTGTACTATTTGTTGAAGAAAAAAAATGAATTGATGATGCACGGATTTGAATATTAAGAAAGATGATTAAATAAGAGGGTGAGGGAATCTGCAAAATATTTAAGCATAAAAAGGGACACTAAGATTACAACTATCTGTTGAAAAGAATGTAAGGTCATTTAATCTAGTTTTGTTAAAAACATTTCTTAAGACTTTTTTTTCCTCCTTTTATCCCTTACTTTATAAAAATTCTTAATACATAAATAAAGTAGAAAAAATAAAACTGTGCAATGCTTTTTTTAATTTCCTTATGTATCTAGATTATTCATGCTCTGCCATGCAGGTTAAACCAGACTTAATTCCATTAAACCCAGAGCTTAAAATAACACAAATATTCATTTGCGTAAACAATTCTTTCCTTCAATGCTCAGCAATCAGTAACACAATATTCTTTTTTACAAATTGCAAATCATGAGTTGTTACTCCTTAATGTATACTCCTTATAACCATAGTTTTTTCTCTGGCTCCCTTATAAACTTGATCTGCATTCTAAATAGAAAATGACAGTACCGCCTTAGAGTAATACTAAATTAAAGAAACTACTAATAAGCAGTTCTCAAAGAACTCCTGAATGCATATATTTAATGCTGAAGCACTGCTTGTTGACAACTATATGCAAGTCAAATAGGCTTCTATGTCAAGCAAAGAAAGTTTAGAAGAATCTTGCAGACTAAATCCATTCCAGTTTCCACTTTTCAACCAGCTAATATTCAAAATATTCTGGTACAATTTATTTTAGCTTCATCCTTTTAGAAGACCATAATATAAATGAAAGAACTATGTTTAGTTTACCTTTTTCACCTGTATAGCACACCTATCTTGAATGATGTACTTTTAATTTATTTTAGTTAGATTTGTAGTCTGCAAGAACTCAAGGTGACACACATTACATTCCTTTCTACTATTTTCTCCACAATTATAACCCAGTGATAATAATAATTACTTAGTGAGCTTATATAGCTGAAGATTGACCTGCTTTTCCTATTATTCATGTTCATTCACTGGTATTTCATTCAAAATGCCTTATATGGGAATGCTTATAAATTTGAAAATTGAAATGCTTTTTAACATTTTTTAAAAAAGATAATGAACTAATACCAACAAACTTAATAAAGTAAGATGTAAGCTGTAATTTATAAAAAGTAAGTCCTATGTAACAAACAAATTCTATCAACATTTTTAGATATGCATATTTTAGACCAAGTTCCATGAAACAATGATATGTACATTTTACAGCGTCAGCTTGGAGTACACATTAAAAGTATTCAGATGCAATAATTACCATTGCTTATATATAATAAGCAAATAATATGCACACTGATCTGCATGTACTGAGTATCAGCAAATGTTTAATTTGAACTCTAACATTGTATTAGTCAATAAGATAATTAGAGAGATCATAAAATATAAAATGTTGTCTGTGGTCTTGTATTTATGTAAATAAAGATTAATTTAGATCATATAAGTAATGTATGCTTCACATACAACTCTCTCAAGTTTTTGTTTTATGGTTTCTGCCTACTTTAATCTCCTCTGTGGTAAATGCATTTTGGAGTGAATGTGAAACCATACATAGACTCCTGAAAGACTGTTAAATCAGTTGTTAGTTTGTTGTTTAGTAACCAAATTGTGTTTGTTGTTTAATAGTAACTAAATTATGCCAAGAAAAAAAGACAGAGGAGGAAGCTATCTCCATACAGATAAAATGTACCTTCACCATCTTCCTTGATGGACTTTGGTTGAGAAACCGCAAAGCACTGCATAGTTTCATATTTCTGATGTGCTTCCTGGTTTTCATGACTTTCTTCTTCAGAATCGGTTAAAGGTTTTACTAACATCCGACAGTTAAAAGTATGGCTATTGCGCCTAGGAGATTCACCAGACCAAGATCCGCCATTCACTAAATAAAACAAAGTTCATATAGAATAAATAGGTGCTTACCAAGATGTTATGAGTAATAATATTTAAAGCCTTAAAAGTAATTTCCTAGCAATCAATCTCTGAAATAGTAAATTATAGTCTGTGCCAGTGCTGACATGGTTGCTGACTCAGGACTAGTTCAAAGTTGTTGTTATACCATATTTTCTTCTTGAGCTAAATCCTTACCACAACATAAGCACTTATTCCTTAGTTCAGTGGTCCATATGTTTTTATATCAATATTGCATCACAATAAGAAAAAAAATACATCATGGGAAACAAGCTGATGAATATTATTTCCAACAGAAAGTGAAATTCATCTGCTGAGGTAAAACAATATTAGGCATCCACAAAAAAAAACACCCTGTTTTTTCCCTGTATGCTTAATATTGGGATATAAAAATGAACTCTTTAAACACAACAGAATGTACCTGCTGGCAGACAAATATAATGTATAATTTGTAGGTACCTGAAATGAGCAATAATTCTGGCAGCTACCACTACCAAGAGTTTCTTTAATATTTCAATTTTAGCAGATTCTATCTTCTGAGTGTCAAAAAAAAAAATGCCCCTTAGCAAAAACCATTAGTTCAACATGCACTGAATTAATCAAACTTCTCTCTCTCTCCCCCTCTCCCCCCCTCTCAAATAATGGCAAACTATGTGTAGAAAGTAGTCAGGAAGATCTTGGAAAAGGTATTCAAATACCATGAAGTATCTAAACCTATAAAGATCAGAATCATGCAAGCTATGATTGGAACACTCTATGGAAGTGAAAGTTGGACTTCAAATAAGCAGGCACCTTTTGAACTTTAATTTTGGGAAAGACTTCTGAGAATATTGTGTTCAGTCAGGAAAACAAACCAATCAATCAACAAATCAATCCAGAGTTCTCATTTGAGCCATAAATGACCAGGCTCAAATTATTCTACACATTATATGAAAGCCCACTCTCTGGAAAAGGAAAATGATGGGAAAGGTGAAAGGAAAGTGAAGATGAGAACAATCAGCAGCAAGTTGGATGGAATCAGTTACAGTGGTGATGAGGGCACATTGGGAGATTTGAAAGAACATCAGTCAGATCATCACAAATAAAATCTAATGTTATGTTATCTGTCAATAATAACTCAATGATACATAACCAATCCATTAACAACTGCACTTATAATCTTGTCAACAGAAGGAAAAGGATAGTTCATTTTTTGTTGGTATTAGTGCAAAAAAGAATTCAATTTAAAAGCAACCTCTCTGCTTTACCTGCCAATCAGCTGAAATGGACAATGACCAGTCCCAGCAAAAAACAAAATGTTCATTTCCTGCTGTACTCTGATGATCTGAGGTGAACTCTGCCTTGAAATGTGGGTTGGGTGTGTGTAGCCGGGGAGGCTTATGTGTGTGTGTGATCTCAGAGATCACGGTGGGCATACCATTGTTATCCATCCATTTTAATTTTTAAGGATTTCACTGGATATGCTCAGAAGTGCCCATCACCATCGGTGGGTCCCATCTGACTAAGAAAGTTCTAGGCTTACATCCATTCATTCAGTAATCATTCAAAGTTATGGTGCACTGAAACATGGATTTAACGGCTAGTCCTTTAAATTCTATTATGAGACCCAGAGTCTGAAAAGATTACTAATCCCTGATGAATTTATGTCATGAAATCAAATGATGGCAAAACAAAAATACAAAAGTAAAGAAAAACATATTCACTACAACATGTATCTTTAGAACACTTACTTCGAGAGTTTGGCAGCAGGTTTCTGACAAATTCATTATGGTCTCCAACATGTAGGATGTTATATACTCTTGTGTTCATTAATTCTTCCTGATTGTACCGTAAATACTGTGTCACATTCTCTGATACAAATACCACATTACCTTCTGGATTCACTACGAAGAAGAATCCATCCAGGGCCTGAAGTTAGGAAACAATGTTTTAAAGCACTGCTGAGAATTGAACAAGATGAAAGCAATACTATTACTATTTTATGAAATCTCTTAAAAAGGAGCAAGATTTTATTCATTATAACATTAAGATTCAAGCTGTCTGATTTTTTTTTTATTAAAACAAGGGGTAAATGCTTCCATCCCTTTTTATTAAAATAATTAAAGAAAGTTTTTACACAAGTTACTCTGCTTAACAACAAGGTACAAACGTGACTGAGCCCAGATTCAAAGACGACTGAATATTAAAGCTTAGAAATAATGCTGAATTGCGTTATATTGTGCTGGGAACAAGAAAAGATACATGGCTTAAATTTATTATGTGAGTTTTCAGCAGACACATAATCTAACACATCTAACATACAAAGTTCTAGTGCCATGATGGCGAACCTATGGCATGTGTCCCCTGAATGGCATACGGAGCCATGTTGCTTGGCACGTGCAGTGTCACCCATTTCTCTTCTGGGGTTTCTTGTGCGCATGCACCTGTGACAATCATCTGGCTTTCATGTGTGTGGCAGTGCCAGAAACTGGAAGAGCTGGTCTTCCATTTTCCTGCATGAGGATGCGACTGGGCAGGTGATCGTCATGTACAGGTGTGCCAAAAACCCGGAAGACTAGCTAGCCGGCATGCATGCGTGTGCCGGAAACCAGAAGTTTATTTTTGGGCGCGCGCATGTGCCCTTCTTCCGGGTTGCAGTCCAGACAAGTGTGTGCGCTCCCTTTTTGCCACTTGGTGCCAAAAAGGTTCACCATCACTGTTCTAGTGAGTAAGTAGAGTAGAAAAGCTAGTTGCAAAATTCTGGAGCATGAAGGGAAAATTAAAATGTAACCTGAAATTTTGGGAGATCAATGGAATTATGAATATCTAAATGCTAAAACTATTTGTCATAATATATATTTAATTATTTATACTGAAAAATAAGCTACTTTTAAAAGCATATTTAATAACTTAGGCTGCAAATATAAGAGAAGCCTCACCGTACCTAACTAATCTTATTCCTTGGTTGATAAACACAGATATGCATTATTTTAATTTAATTAGTGACTCACAAAACTAAAACCATGTTAAGATTCTGGTAGTAATCTAGATGCACAAATGTCTCGCCATAAATTCAAATTGGTATGCATAAAATCTTTCTTTTAATCTCCCCCCTCCCAGATTTTAGCATAAAGTAGCACTGAAGTGACAGAAATCTATGCTTTTTTGTCAGGTTTAGAAATCCTGTCTTTAGGCAGAGTCATAAATATACCTGTTTTTGCAAATAGCATAGTTTTCTATTTTGGCAGGTTGGACCGAACAAACTAAATCATTAGATAGATTTAACTTTGCTAGGCTGAAAAGAGTTTGCAATGGGGACCTCAATGGTACAAAACTCGAAAAGATATCAGGATGATTTGCTATTGGGTATCTTTTTTTTAATGCCCAAAATTCAGAAGGATATAATTGCAATTTTGAGAAACTCAAACAAGAATTTAATATATTTTGGGAAATATTAAAAAATATTTAATATATTTTTCAACCCCTTGAATTGTAATGTAATATAATATAATAAAAATGAACAAGGAAGCAGTATCTTGTGGTAACTGAGTTGTTATTCTAACCTTTCTTATCTCTACTTATCAGTAATTTATTTTCCATATGAATTCTGGCTTTTTTATATGACAATAAAAGATGGGATCAATGATTTCTTTTATGATATGATTCAGCTTATTGCGGAAGTTATCAGTCAATGTCAATAGTTAAAATACAGAAAAGCTATGTTCTAGTTGATTTTCTAAAGACAAACAGAAAGGATAAAATGCAAGTTCTAAAGATGTGCATTCTGTAGTCTAGAAGTGACACAGGAGAAGGCCTATTCTTTACGCCAGTTAAATGAGCTTCTGACAGCTGGGATGTCTGCACTACAAATCTTTCAGATCTTAACTATCAGGCAGGACAAATGACATAATAAATTATAGGAAATATTTATTTTCTTTTTCTGCATCTATGAGAACTAGGTACTTGATTTATTGGAATTAAATTTAGAGGATGTCAATTTTGCCCACTCAATTAGCTGAAATCAAATCATTTCAAAGTGGAGTAAAAATATATATATTGAACAATAGCCTGCTGTTTTATGTATAGGTACATATGGCTTGTATATTTGTTAATGACATTTAATTATAAATATAATTGATATTATGAATATGAAATGACTAGAGTTATCACTGATGCTGTATTTGTTTTTCTCATGCAGAAATTCTTTACATAAGATACTATTTTCCTAAGCATCTTTGATCATATCTTTTACACTGTGAGGTATTATTTACTGCTATACTTTTGAGTCAGATTATTATTTAAACAGGTATATTCTCCTATAGAAAACTATAGAAAAACAATGCAAGTTAACTATTAATCCTTCAGAGTGCTCTGAAGCTGAACTATAAAAATAACATGGAGAAAAACATAAATTAGCGTGTCATATATTCAAAATTTTATTATATTTGTTTGCATATTGTACTGCCTTCGAATTTTACAATCCATGCAGCCCATAAACTACAATTCATAAAGCGAACTTTACAAAGAAAGCTTGTGTCATATGCTAGTTTTTAGGATCACACAAGATTTTATCATATACTGCTTTTGCAAAAACAAAATCCAAATTTGTTATCTTGCTGAATCAAATGGAATATTGGAAATAATTCTAAATATTAGAACTTTCAGCACTTTACCTCAAGCATCATTGGTCCAAGTGCATCCTTGTCAATTACACTCTGACCTGTGGATGACACATCAGCTTTCTGCACTTCATCCTCATTGGCTGCTGCTGCTTTCTCTACACACAAAAAAGAGAGGAAAAAATACATACTTTATAGTATATGGTAATGAATGCAAGACAGCAGAGTGCAGTGTAATATGTAAGATTACATTTAATATGTATTATAGAAAATGGGTATCACAAACCCAGTTGGAATCAATCACCATTTTAAAATTCATTCAGACAGAGCCTGCAAGATTAGTGTTTATCAAGTACAAATATTGTAAGCAAACTGGTTACTGTGAATGAAGAAAAGGTTTTTTTTTTCACAGTAGTCTCTTTTCAGTGGTACATATTTATTATCAGGAATTCATTACAGTGAATTAATGAATACATGTTTTGTCTTTGAACTCTCATGAATAACCTTTTAGTGGATCTTTATCTGTAATTACTTACTATTCAAATAGTTTAGAAGAGGAATATGTGCTTTTTTATTATTGCTATGTTTTTATTAGTTCATTAATTATTACAATATACTAATATTTAGGTTTTTACTTTGGAATCTAGCTTGAGATGCTTCTTCACAAAAGGGACACCCTAAATATTACAAATAATACATTCCTTAAGTAGAGAAAAGTTTATATACATATATACAGTATGGCGAGTATCTTGAAGTCAGCCTTGTCTTCTGGTGACTGCATGGATTAGTCGCCTCAGTTTTCTCAGCAACATTTTTGGAGGTGGTTTGTCAGACCCACCTCCTAGGACTGAAAGGGCATGACTGGTGCAAAGTTATCAATTTGCTTTTTTTTACCTAAGAGAGTGGAAGTTGAGCCATGTGCGTGCATGCGCCAGCCAAATGATTCCATAATTCAACTAGAACTTATTTAAACTCACTACAAATCCTATTGGATCATCTAATTTTATTGGATTTTATTATTATGCAAATTATTGGATAAAAGCAAATTATTGCTATTAAAAGCAAAAGAAAAATAGTGCTGCTAAAAATAAATGTGAGATCCACACATCATTTTAAGACTAACTGGCAAATCAAGATTTACTAATAATGTTTTACTTGCATCAACAATTTACACTTCCTACATCTGTGGAAAGCCAGAAATCCCACACTGATTATAATTACTGAACTAAATATAAAGCTTTTGGATAACAGTTAAGGCTAGAAAATATAAAGCATTAATCATGAAAGAATAGCTATATCACATACAAAATATGATTTATAATATATTCCATTAAGTTTAGATAATTATGATGCCATCCTATTTACTTGTGAATAGATTCATGGGTGTGAATGAATGAGAAAGAAAAAGAGAGAGATAATTATCTGGTGTATTCATATCAAAGAGTTCAGAAGAAATATACAACACAATTTAACATATATTAAATCTCAAAGAAAATGGAGCAATTTTTAAATACATACTTAATTTTTAATTTACATTTTGTATTTTTAATTCAACCCAATTTTATTAAACTAACAAGATTATAAAACTAGAAAAAATAAGAATTTTGTACAAGTTGCAAGAAAATAGAATAGCATATTTACATAATTGCAATATATATTTGAACAAATTTCTACTAAGCTTCCACAGAATCTAAAAATCCTTTTATTCTATTTCATGAATACAATTTACAGTGGGGATTGAGAGCAAAATGGGAACGATAGAGCATACAATCATTTAAAATATTTAATATTGACATGATTATATTTGATGTATCTGGATTTATTTTTATGTACTAAACTTCAAATAATTCTAAATAAGAATCCACCATATTGTTCAACTAAAACAAAATGGCAAAACCCCAAAATCAAACACTTTCATAAATATTTGAGTCTGACGAGATAACAAACAGGTCTTGTATAAGGAAATATTCAAACATTATTCATATTCACTATTAATATTATTTTTCACTATATTTTTCATTGCATTATTGTTCACTGCATTAAAATCTTATAAAAAGCTTGTAATAATCATGTCTTAGTATTTCAATCAGCAGGGAAATGTCTATTATTTTCACAAGATTTCAGCTTTTCAGAAGAGTTTATAAAATTATTTGCTGCTGTTCCAATTTCCAGTCTCAGCAGGAACGCTACACTCTCCCTAACAATGTTTACCTTTTGTTTAAAAAACAACATACCTTCTCATTACATTTTACAACACACCTTCGTAGACCTGCACACAGCAACAGGCACCCTTATTGATAAAAACCCAAAATATTGCTATCAAAAAAGACACAATTGCAGAATGATTTTAGAAGGTAAAAACAAGGGAGAGAATTATGCATCTGTACTGAACTAAAATTAGAAAAGCTGCCATATGGCACTGTGAAGCCAGCAGCACATTCTTATTCATTAGGAAGCATTCTGCCAACATTAAAACACAAGGCCCTTCCTGCAATCTCCAATTGTGTTTATCTTTTCAACATTAATGCACGATATATCATCAGCTTGCTGAAATCTCCTGCAGTGCATATTTTAAAAGCACAGCTGCACTATTCCCCAGTTTGTTTACTGAGATCAGTTTTAAGGGTAAAGATTTGCTTCACTCCCTTCTTTATGCAGTCTTTCCTGTCAGCAAATGAAAGTGTCTAAAAATCTGCTGAGTGAAGGTTGTACCAGCCAATCCTAAACTATGAATGATACTACATTTCTAATTATTTCCGTCTCCCTTTCCCTCCCTCCCTCCCTCCCTCCCTCCCTCTGTGTGTGTGTGTGTGTTACGGATCTAATGGCTGAGAATAGAATACAGTCTTGATTTCGTTTTTATCCTTAGCGATGCAAGTGTAAACTAGGGGGGTAAATGGATTAATCCAAGAGATATCCATGAGTTGAAAGCTAGCTGGCTCATTCTTTGCAAGTCAGTGACTCTTTTCCAGTAGAAATTTGCATCCTGTATTGGCAGGATGTGCTACATGAGGTTGTGATAAATAGGTTCACTTGTCTTTCTTTGAAAAATCATAAAACAATTTTTACATTAGAAGCATGATAGCAAATATTTAGAAGCACAATAGCTCATAAGAAATTGGAAAATAATATTTAAAATACATCTAATTAGGACTGGATAACAGTGGAGAGGCACTGAAACGTTTAACATATTGGATTCTATTAGGAGAAAAAGTTACCTTACCGAGATTATACAAAATGCTTTCATTCAGTATATGAATCAGTATATATATCTATACCAGTGTTTGCAAACCAATAATGGCTAAAACTGTCACTGAACAAGTGAAATATGCTAGAAAAAATACAGGGGATCATTCCTTAAGAGTCAGGATCCAAAACTCTATTATCATGATATGTTGCCAGCTCTATAGAAATAAATTTGGACATACAGTATTAATAATTCTGTATATGATTTTAAACATAAGATGCACCAAAACTCAGGTCCCATAGGCTCATCAAGTTTCATTAATTATTTCTTTCCAGAGAAAATGTTAGAATACTTAAGAATATTCAAAGGTCATGCACCAAACAAATAAGAAAGTTTTTACAAAGAAATTGTGTATGCTAGACAACATACCTGCTATGTAGCAGTTTCCATTTTGTGTAATTCTACCCCTGAAGGTCTATGTAGCCTCTATCTTTTTAATATTTCACAAACAAGTCGTGCTATACTATTTGGTGAACCTTTGGCCACTAGTGGTTTTCGGAGATATTTAATATATATATAATATACCACCCAGATTCTTTTGAGATCTTGATGTGTTATAAGCACTGTATAAATAATTTCCCAAAAGTGAGCCAGGATAAAATTATACTGTGCCCATGTAATTTGGTCTCTTATCAGGTAATATTATTTCTGAAGATAACTTTTCTTAATTTTATATTCCTTCAAAGAGGAAACATGCTGCCTCATTGTTTTGCTGACAATCACTTTTCATCTTGCAAAATAACAAGGCAGGCATCCTCAAGTATGTTAGAATTCTATACATTTAAAATGTTGATCTCTTTCAGTCAAATATATAACAATGATAAAACACATATGTTGCATTCAGAAAAAGAATTTTATAAAATAATGTAGTAAATTAGGACGTATTTCTAATTTCTTTGAGGGCATTCTTTTAGAATAAATGTTGACATACATACATACATACATACATACATACATACATACATTTCTTCATATCAATAATCTCTTTAACAAATTGCTCTAAAACGTCAGTTTATTCCATTCCCAAGATACACTTCAATCTACTTCCATTTCTTCATGTTTTTTCAAACATATCAACTGATATCTCTTTAAATCCTGGAGGTGAGTTATTCCTCTTGAAAAGCAAATTAGTGCAATAATATGTATAATTTAAAACGCTCAAGGACTACTTGTTAGTCCTTATAAACATAAATCCTATAGCCTTGATGGAGAACTTACGGCACGTGTGCCAGAGGTGGTACACAGAGCCTTTTCTGTGGGCACAAACACCATCGCCAGCTGATTTTCTGGTTTCTGGCGTGAGCTCAGAAAACCTGAAGACCAGCTGGCCAGTGCGTATGTGCCAGAAACCCAAAGCCCAGGTGGCTTTGGTGCTCTGGCACACACGTTCTGGTTTGGGCACTTGTAGCACGTGTAGAAAAGGTTAGCTATTGCTGTTCTATAGACCAGTAGAAGTCTATTAGTCAAATTACTGAAAGAGGTGGACGTTCAGGTCTCTTCTGCTTCAATTTGGCAGGAAGAATTTTTCATGCTTTTATAAACAACAAAGTTAGTAACAATTTAAGAATAAATTCAACATAGAGTATGTGGCAGAACGACCTATAATTAAAAATGAAAACACATCGAACAGAATACGGCATCTTCTGTTATTCAGTAAACAATCTCATAGATACTGCCTTCAAGTGTGGCAATTGCCTATACAACAGAAAACAACCGGGACTGTTATTATGAACATATTTGTTGCTAAAAATTACTACATACTGAGCAAATCCTCAAACATCAAGGAGTCAATTGCACCCTTATTCAATTTTCAGCCTTATTCATTTTTCCCTTATTGTTTAACTTCAATCTGTTGCCTTACGACATCAGTAAAAGCCATTGCCAGAAACCATTAGTGGCAGATATCTTTGA